GACCAGGAGGCAGTCGTAAGAACAGAGCAAGGAAACACTGCGTGGTTCAAAATTGGGAAGGGCGTATGTCAGCAATGTGTCCTGTCTCCATACCTTTTCAACTTCTATGCAGAACAGATTATCTGGGAGGCTGGGCTCTCTGAGGAATAATGTGGGGTCAAGATTGGTGGAAGATCTATCAACAATCTGTGTTATGCAGGTGACAACCCTGCTTGAATTGAAGATATACTATTTTATAATTCTTACATCATAGATCAAAAGTCAAAGTCATAGATAGCTGTGGAGTCAGAGCCAACTCATACCTGACCAGTTATTAAATACCCTGGAGGACATTGTCCATTTTCCTTCCACAGAGCCACTAGTGGATTTGAACCACCTGTGAGGCTAGTCCTTAAGGAATTAGCAACACAACTCCTTAATGAAATTACTCAGCCACCAAAAGTCTTTCTATGAGTGATAGTATATTATTTGAAAGTAGTCTTATAAATGAAAAATAAAACTTGGAAACTTTACATTAATCATGAAAAATAAAATAACAAATTGTAGCTAATAAACCAATAGGAAATATTGAGCTAATCTAAGAAAGGCAAGGGAAAATTAACAAAGAATAGATGAGTGAAATAAGTAAACTAAAATAAGAAAGTGCATTCACCCCAAGCATATAAATGCATACTTCAAATATATAGAGATAAAATATATATAATTCAAACTCAGAGGTTGTCAGATTGAAAAAAAAAAGTAGATATATTCTATTCACAAAGAAGCTTATAAAATAATAGGTAATGTGAAAGTAAAGAAGAAAATACACGAACCCTAATCGTAATAGAGAAGGACCAGAGAGGTAGATTGACACAGTGGCTACAACAATATGTTCAAACAGAGCAACAGTTGTGAAGATGGCACAGGAATAGTGTCACATGCCTTTGCACATAAAGCACTAAGAATCAATAGTGACTCAAAACAGCAATCACAAAAAGACGCAATGATTCTAGTAATATCAGATCATATGAACTTCAAGTTAAAGACTATTACCCAAGAAAAGTGATTCAACTGAATGTGGAAACTATAGAACAATATCATTAATATCACATGAAAGCACAATGTTGGTGAAAATCATTTAAAAAATGGCTAGAATACTATATCGATAGGGAACTGCCCGAAGTTCAAGCAGGATTTTGAAGAAGATGTCGCACCAGGGATATCATTACTTATGTCAAATGGATTCTGGCTCAAAGTAAAGAATACCAGAAGAATGTCTATTTGTGCTCTATTGGCTATTCAAAGGTATTTGATTGTGCAGATCATGCCAAGTTGTGGTTCACATTGAGAAGAATGGGAATCCAAGAGCACTAATTTGTGTTCATGCGAACCTATACCTGGAACAGGAGGCTGCTGTACAAACAGAACGGAGAACACTGCATGGTTTAAAATTGGGAAAGCAGTTTGTCAGTGTTGTATCTTCTCTTCATAACTATTCAATCTGCATGCAGAGCAAATTAACCGAGAAACGGAACTCTGTGAAAAGGAATGTGGCATCAGGATTGGAGACTCATCAATAACCTGTATTCTGCAGATGACACAACCTTGCTTGCTGGAAGTGAGAAGGACTTAAAGCACTTGTTGCAGAAGATCAGGGAATGAAGCCTTCAGTATGAAATACATCTCAATGGCAAGAAAACAAAAATTCTTACCGTTGGAACAATAGGTAGTGTCATGATGGATGGAGAGGAGATTGAAATTGTCAACAGCTTCATCTTGTTGCAGAACAGATCATTCAAGAGGCTGGACTTTATGAGGAGGAATGTGGCATCAGAATTGGAAGACGACTCATCAACAACCTCTGTTATGCAGATGACACAACCTTGTTACCTAAAACTGAGGTGAACTGGATGTGTTTGCTGCAGAATGTCAAGGACTGTAGTCTTTACTATGGATTGAAGTTCAACATCAACAAGACAAAGATTTTCACCACTGGCTCAATTGGCAGCACCATGGTAGATGGAGAAGAAATTGGGGTTGGAACAATTTCAGCTTGCTCAATTTCACAATCAGCACTCTTGGCATCAGCAGTAAGGAAATAAACAAATAAATTGAATTAGGAATATCTGCTGTGAGAGACCTCTACAGAGTACTGAAGAGCAATGATATCAGTATAGAGACTAAGATGCACCTGACCCAGGCCATGATCTTTGCAGTGCCTTGCTATGCATCAGAGAGCTAGACAATGACTAAGGATAATAGAGGAAGAATTGATGCCTTTGAGCTGTGGTGCTGGAGAAGAATATTGAACATACTTTAGACTGCCAAGAGAACTAACAAATTTGTCTTGGAGAGAGTGAAACCAAATTTCTCCTCGGAGGCAAGGATTTTGAAGCTCTGTCTCACATACTTTGGACATGTAGCCAGGAGGTACCAGTTCTTGGAGAAGGTTATCATGCTTGAAAGGGTAGAGGGACAGTGCAGGCAAGGAAGACCCCTGATGAGATTTATTGACACAATAACTCGGTTAATGAGGTTAGGTGTGTCAGAGACAGTGAGATTAGCTCAGGATAGAGCAGGTTTCATAGTTATTGTGCAAAGGGTCACTATAAATCATAGTCAACTCAACAGCACTTAACAACAGCAACCTATGGTCAATTGATCTGTGATAAGGAGTTGAAATTAGTTAAGTAGAGCAATAACACCCTCTTTAACAAATGTTGTTGTTATGTGCTGTCGAGTTGCTTGCAACTCATAGCGACCCTATGTACAACAGCCCTAAACTCTGCTCTGTCCTGTACCAATCGCACTGTCTTCAATACACCCATCCCAAGTACTCCCTTCACTGAATCAATCCACCTTATAGAGGGTCTTCCCCTCTTGTGACATCCCTCCACCCTAAGCATGATGTCTCTCTCCAAGGACCGATCCCTTCTTACAAT